AAGGGAGCTTACAAATAGGAGCAAGACTGTCGTCTTATGTGGTTTAATAGTGATGGGACAAAGGGGAATTATTTTAAACTAAGAGAGAGGAGATATAGGTTCGATTTCAATTTTTTAATCAGTAGGTAAAGAGGCACTGAAACAAGCTGGCCAGAGAAGTTGTGGATCCCCAATCTCTGGAGGTGTTCAAGGCAAGCTTGGATCTGGCCCTGGCTAGCTTTATTTAGTGGTTGTCAAGTTTGTTGTTGTTTAAAAAAATATTGGTAACAAAAATACCTTCAATGTACGTGTGTATCTGTATGGAGAAATATATTCCTGTGGTGTATAAGAAACCTCAGTTTCCTCTTCCATTTTGTAAATTCACTTTTCTTTTAAGAGTACTGGCTCTGTTCATCCAAATTACATCATTGTTACTAAGCAGACAGCCAGATTTAAAGTTATATATTATCTGTGGTTATTAGGCATTCTGAAGACTTGAGTACCATATTACAGAATTCCACAGTTGCAGGGTTTGGAAGGGACCTCAAGAGATTACTGATTATCAACCCCCCTCCCAAAGCAGATACCCTGCAATAGGTCATGCAGGTTGGTGTTCAGATGGGTCTTGAATATCTCCATAGGAAAGTCTACAACCTCTCTGGGCAACCTGTTCTAGTGCTTCATCACCCTTATCAAGAAGTTATTCTGCGTGTTTATATGGAACTTTCTATGTCCAAGTTTTAGGCTATTGCTCCTTGTTCTATTACTATGCACCACCAAGAAGAGCTTGGCTTCGTCCATTCGCCTCTCCCTTCTACTTCTAGAACTAGATATCTACAAAATTACCAGATCCCCCCTCAGTCTTCTTTTCCCCAGGATGAACAGATCCAGGTTATTCACTCTTTCTTTATATGGGAAGTACTCCAGGCCTGTTACCACCTTTGTTGCTCTCTGCTGGACTCCTTCTAGGAGATCTGTATCTTTTTTTGAACTGAGGAGCCCAGAACTTGGCAAGGTATTTTAGATGCGGCTTCAGCAGGGCAGAATAGATGAAAAGCATCACTTCCCTCAACCTGCTGGACACACTCTTTTTAATACATCCCAAGATAGCATTGACTATGAGCTCACTCCTGGCTCAAGGTCAATCCGTTGTTCACCTTAACACCCATGTCTTTCTCTGCAGATCTCCTCTCCAGCAGGTCATTCCCTAACATGTACCAATTACTAGTTATATATTTACTAGTTACGATAGTTAAATAATTACATATTATTAATTCTTTCATTCAGTCTGTTTTTAGTGTAATACTAAACTAAAATTAATGGAGAAATATTTTTTAACTGCATTGTCTTTGCACTGCATTAATATAAATTCCTAATTTTTGAGGGAAACTGGCTTATGACTAAACATAGTCATCCAGGCAAAAAGCAGTTACAAATCAGGATTAAAATGTGCTTTGTTTGATTGTCAAATAGATTTTGCTATCATCTGATTATATTCACTTTTTATAGATTTCAATTCAAGTTATTTTATTTTTTCGTTTTTGCTTTTGCTATATTTTCTTCTGGTAAGTACATTCCCATTATTACAGTATGTGTGAACTTTGTGTAAGCAGAGAACAGGAATTAAATATAACATTGTTTATAACTTGTGTATTGTATACACCAGCATACTGTTTAACTTAATACAGCTTGGTGGATGCAGGCTGACATGATTCTGTCAGCCAGTACTCTTGAAAAATTCTGAAAATACATGTCTGGTGTTTTGTTTTGTTGTGTAAAAAGCCATCCAAACATTCTGCTTTAACAAAAATCATATTCAGTTTTCAACTCTACGAATAAAGTCGTTTTAACTTGACAAGTAGTACAGTGAATTCCAGGTTTGTCAAAAAAAAACCAAAAAACCTTAGGCTAATGTTTTGCATTTGTGAAGTGTAAGTCATCTTTGGTGCGTCTTTGCTTTCCTGTTGCTATCTACAAGCCTGTCTGCCAAGCTGCAACCGAATGGGATTTAATAGAGCTGCCTGTAACATACCAAAAAAAAAA